CACTGGAACAGGTTACCCAGAGAGGTGGTGACGTCTCCATCTTTCAGACCCAGGTAGACAAAGCCTTGTCTGGGATGATGTGGTAGGGGCTGGTCCTGCTTTGAGCAGGGGGTTGCACTAGATGTGACCTCCTGAGGTCCCTTCCAGCCTCCTTGTCTGAGAGTCTATGACAGCTTCAGGGCTGCGGGAGGTCACAGCTCTCCCCCCGCTGCCCCAGGCAGGCCCACATCAGCCAAAAGGCAGAGCAGCATCGCACCTTATAGACCAGTGCTTCTCCATCAGGGTGCCGCGGGGTGCCTTGAGATCCTTTCAGGGGTGCCACGCCACACTGGCACTGTGGGGGACATGAACGAGATCCACGAGATCAACCCAGGGATGTCAAGCGGGGATCCAGAGTGGCAAAGCCATTCTTCTCTGTTGTGGTCCTTGGAGTTTGTAGCAACAGGAGAGTGGCTCTAGGATGTTTCTGTAGTCAAAAAACAGTGAACATTAAGAGCTGGCATCTTCCAAGGGGGTCTGGAGTCTAATGAGGGGGTCTGGAGTCACTGAATCATGAAGAAGTCAGGCTGGAAGGGACTTGCAGGGGTCACATCTAGTCTGACACCTGCCTAAGGCATGATCAGCCCTGTCCAAACCAGCCCACACTAAATTTTGCATAAGACTGTCATTGACCCTGACACACTCACCTGCCACAGGTAAAGCAGAGGACCATGCTTCTAGGAAATGTTATCATGATGGGATCAAGGGAACCCGGGTAGAGATTGCATCCCCTGCTACAGAGGAAGGAAAAACTCCTCCAGGTCTGTGCCAATCTGATCGGGGGGGAAAATCCCTTCTTGCCCCCAGTGATCATCGGTCTGAGCTGAGCGCAGGGGCAAGACCCTCCAGCCAGAACCCTGCGGGGTTGGTGCCAGCAGGAGCATTTGGCATGCTCAACACCCAGCGCCTCTGGGGGGGGGCTTAAAAGCCCCCTAAAACATGGAGCAGAAATGGGGATGGGGGCCAAATAGCTAGGAAATCCCCACAACAGAGCACGGGCATCGCTGCGCCTAAATCACCCCCCACCAGTGTCTGCCCAGCATCAGCTTGAACCCTGCAGCGATGGAGAGCCCACAGCTCCCCTGGGCATCTCTTCCTCTGCCTCCCTGCTCCAACAGCCTAATGAGGGGACCCTTGAGTCTAAAAAGAGTGGAGAACCGCTGTTGCAGACTAACGACACCAGACACGGGCAGCCCAGGGAACCAGCCTCGATGCACGGGCAAACTCAGCTCACCGAGCGAGCAGATAACCATTTTGCATACGGTCACTGCCTCCTGGCCTCCAGCCGTGCCGTCAGGGCCCAGGCGGCTGCCCCTTGGGAGCCGGGCGGCCTCAGCCCGCTGCTCCGTTCCCAGGAGCTGGAGGCTATTCCCGGTGCCCGTCTGGTGCAGAGAACCAGGGGGGCCTCCAGGTCTCTGGACACGAGCACAAGCCCCTGAAAGGTTTGCTGCTGTGGCTAAGAAGCCAGATCCCCCAACCCAGCCTGCGGGACCAGTCACCCCACCCTGGGCTGAGCAGATGGACCGAGGGGCTTCCTGCCTCCCCAAATGCAAAGCTCACAGGTGCTGCTCAGCCCCCTCCCCTTGGAAAACGCCAAATCTTCGTTTTCACTGTTTTTTTGGCTATGTAAAAATAGCAGAGCAATTCTCCTTTTGCAAAGTGCTCAGCACGACCCTGACAAGTCAGCAGGTTTTTAACACGGTGGCTTCCTGTTTGAAATCTCTGGGGTTATACTGATGTCAAGTAGAAGGCGAGGGCAAGGTGCACCTATGGACCAAAGGAAGTCCCAGCTGATGAAGGGGGCTTCACATCGAGACGGCTTGCACTGTATCAGTCTGCTTTGGCCAGTCTTGTGTCACGTGGCAGAGAGCGGAGGCTGCATGGGAGAGTGGCCTGGGGCTCAGCAGGGTTTTCCCCTGCTCCTCTCTCCCTTGCAGCCTTTAAGGTCCAGGCAGGTCTGATGCAGACGCTGTGCCTCGTGTTCCCATGCAAAATAGTGCCTTTTCTCCAAAAACATGTGCAATCCCTCAGTGAATCTGGCTGAACTCTCAGCTCCCACCACTTCTGGTGGCCACGAGCTCCATCCTTTAATTGCACGCTGGGTGAAAAGGAATGTGCTGGTGTTCGTTTTGAACGGCCAGCCTGCTCGTGTTATGACCCCTGTTCTTGTCTGGCAAGAGAGAGTCAGTAACAAATCCCGAGTGACTTTCTCTTCTCCACTGAGTATTTTGGAAACCTCCTCCTGTGCCTCCTCCAGCGTCTCTTGTCTAAAGTGACCAGGACTGGCCTCTCCAGTGCCTCCTCATATAGGACTCATCACCCTTGTTGCCCTGATCTAACTGCTTGGGCTGGAAAGAAAAAAAAAAGCAGCTAAATAATATGGTACCAAATGTCCTGCTATTTCATTTGTGACTTAGAAACACAACCACGCAGCAGCCAACCCCAGTTGGTTTCCTCCACAACGTTTCCCAGAGACTTTTTGGTCCATTTCCACTAGGGAAGCACCCGGCCAGTACATTGCCCAGCTCGGATGGCAAACTCTGGGCATGAAACAGAAAGGCATTTTGAAAATGGACCTTGCTTTTCATCTCAGTCACCATGGAGGAGGGGACCAGACCCCGGTTTCACTTCCCAAGCCCTGGTACGTGGCCACAGCATTTGGGTCATGAATTCTGCCAGAGACTAGCTGAAACTAAACTTAGTCATGAGCAAACCTGCTATGATGAAAATGCTCCTTGGCTTTTAGGTTCTGGGAAGCCCTGGTTTTTGCTACCCTAATGGCACTAGCCCCTGGCACTGATGTCATGTACAAGCGCCCTTAATGATTATAGGGTAAAGCAAACTTGTTAAAGAGAAAGTCGGGAAACTCCAAAGCCCGCTTGCAAGATCAGCCCCGCTCATCCCCTGTGCTTCCGGAGCAGGGGGCTGAACTAGACGACCTCGCCAGGTCCCTTCCAGCCCTGCTTCCCTGTGATCCTAGGATCTCACTCAGTCTGTGCTGCTATCCCAAATGCATTAATATTCTGTACAGTGCAATGTCGCGGCATTAAGAAGGCTGCGGGAACCATTGATTTAAATATGCTGACATTTGGATATTTCAAATCACTGCCTCTGTGTGCCATTAAGACTTTTATTTTATCTGCATTTAACTCCCTTGATGATCTCACTTGAAAAAAAGCCGGGAGTTTGGTGGGGATGAAAGCGCTGCCCAGGGACCCGGGAGATCTGGCTTTAGGTACTGGCCAGTGCCACGGACTTAACCATGGGCATTTCAAGCAATCTTTCCAGGCCTCAGTTAATCCATCTGTGGAATGGGAATACGAATCCCTCCTTTGTCTGCCAGTCTATTGAGGTACCAGTCCTGTAATGAGTTACACCTGCTCTTGCCTTGATACTCATCATATGTCTGTGTGCCCATGCTCCTGCTGGCACCAACCCCGCAGGGTCCTGGCTGGAGGGTCTTGCCCGATGTTGTACTGGGGGCAGGAAGGGATTTCCCCCCTGCCCAGACTGGGGGGTTTGGCCTTCCTCTGTAGTGGGGGCACGGCCTATGCTTGGGATTTCTTGAGCATCCATCAACAACCCTTTGCATAAGCAGGACGCTTGCTGCCGCAGTCCCCGAGCTTTCCCTGTGGCAGGTTCAGGTGTGACGTCTAGTGCCGTGTCGGGGTGACAGTCATTTTACAAAGAGTTTAGATGATGGATTTGTCTTGGCTGGTTTGGACAGGGCTGATCCTGCCTCAGGCAGGGGGTCGGACTAGATGTGACCTCCGCAGGTCCCTGCCACCCCATGGCTCTGTGCTTGTATGATAGATCGTGACATCTAATAATCACGTTCCATGCTCTCCAGACCGAGTGTCACTGTTGCTTTGTGGTATGTGGACACGCCACCATTGCAGCTGCTTTAATGTCCCCGTGCGGCACTGCAGGTCCACGCGCACCTGTGCGCAGACACAGCTGGGACACAGCCCTGCACCGCTGCAGAAACAATGCATTTAAATATAGCACCGTGCGTGTGTCACTCCTGCTCCTCTAACCCACCCCATGGAGAATCCTGCCCCGTGGGCCACGTACCGCACCCCATCACATCTCAATTCCAGGTCGCACTTGCCCTTTAGAAGCAAACAGCAGATTTGTAATGATCTGAATGTGAAGGGTGCATCTGTGGGTTATCTGGGGTACAAAGCGGGTTCTAGGTCCCGTGCCCACGGTGTCTGATTATAGAGCTGGTGCCTGCACCATTGGAAAATCCCTTTTCTTTGCATATGCACCAATTAGGAATTATGTCTATCTTTGCAAAGGGGAGAAAATGCGATTTGGGTAGAGAACTATCAAGGGAAGCTTGAACATGAGATTTCCTCTGTTTGTGCATTTGCAATGTTGCAGCAGCTAGAAGACAGGGGCAGAGGGTCTTCTCAGGTATCTGTGTCTTGTTCCACACCTGGCCCAGGTAAAAGACCAGATACCCAGGTGAGACTGGAGGTCTGGCTAAGGGTTAGGAAGTGGGGGTGGACTGGAGCCTTGTAACCCACAAGTTACCTCTTCAAAACCTGCTCGGTAGCCATTGACATGCGTGGATCTAGGCTTTTGAGAAGAGGGGTGCCTCGTCATCAGATACAACATAACACATATTTTTCTCCAGTTAAAGAGACACTAGAAGCTTTACTAGAAGCCTGGTGCTATATTATTTCATTTAAATTCAAAGCAAAAACAAATATCACCATGTTGGACTTTGCACTACTTTGCTATACTTGATACCTTCAGTTTAAAAAACCACAGCAAACTGGGCAAAAATAGGCAAAAGCAAAAACAGATATAACTGTGCTGGACTTTGGACTAATTTGCTATATGAGATATTGCATTTAAAACACACTGCAAACTGGGCAAAAATAGGCAAAAGTTCTTGTGTCATTAGTCCTGAAGTCATTATAGTTAAACACATATCAGATTCATAAAACAAAAACTAGCTTCCTCAGGTGTCTTGACAGTGCCTCCAATACTTCCCTGTCAGTCATTTCCACATCTGCGTTGAGGTTTTCAGTGAGCGTGAAAAACAGCCAGCAGGAAATCAGGAGAGACACCATCAGCAATGGCTAAGAGACAGCAAAATTGCAGAAGAAAGGAGAGTTTGAGAAGTGGAAAGTCAAGATCACTGAACAGGTGAGAGGGTCGTTCACACTTGTGGAGTGAGGAGAGATTAGTAGGAATCAAGGAGCTGATCATGAGCCATGAAGTCAGCTGACTCGCAGTGCTGCCTGAATGGAAATGTCACTGCCTCTCTCAGGCATTTGGGTTTAAAGTCTGGGTGGCGCAGGAATCAGTGGGGTGAAACCATCATTTCAAACCTGGATCCACCCTGAGCCACTAAAAACAGTCCCTTTTCTGCTCTATATCAGTTCCCACCCTCCCCCGGCACAGCTGGACTCTGTCTGGCCTAGGTGTGAAACGGGGAGATGCCCTCACTCCTGGTCCTGCTGCAAGCCTACCAGCAAAACTACCTCCACACTAGCAAATGTGGCCATCC